ACCTTCAAGGTGGCTCAATATCTCAAAATGAGGTCCAAATAACTCTAGTCCAGGGCTCTAATCAGTAGGTGTCTTAGTCTGCTTTGTGTTACTATAAAGGAATACCTGAGGTTGAGTATAAAGAAAATAGTTGTATGAGGCTCATGGTTCCTCAGGCTGTACAAGAAGCATAGTGCTCACATCTGTATCTGGTGAGGGCCTTAAGCTGTTTCCCTTCATGGTGGAAGGCAAAGGAGGGGCTGGTATGCACAGAGATCGCATGGTGAGAGAGGAAGCAAGATGGAAGGGAGGCACCAGGCTCCTTTTAATAATCAACTCTGTTGGGAACTAATAGCGTGAGCACTCACCCCCCATCCCAGGTACAGGCAAGTGTCTGCGAGGTAGTGCGTTGATCTATCCATGAGGGATCCACCCTCTGGAACCAAACACCTGTCAGTAAGCCCCACTTCTCAACACTGCCACACAGGATTAAATTTCAACGTGAGATTTGGTGGGGACAAACATCCAGGTCATAGCAGTAGACAATGTCTATCACATCTTGAATGACCAATAGGACTTGAAAGGTCTCAAAAGGAAGATTTCAAATAATGGGAAACAAAGGCTTAAATGAAAATGGATAAATCTCTTAAACCAGACTAGCATGTACTTATTCAAGCTGAGGATTTATATCTTTCTTCAGTTACACAAACTTCTTCAAATAGGACCCCTCAGCATCCTTTTTTATCATATCCTTCTGGAACTCCTATAGGCCTGAGTTGGCATTTCCTGTTCCATCTTCCAAGTTTTGTAAGCTCTTACACATGTTTTTAATATCTTTATCTCTCTGTGCTAGCTTCACTTCTGGAAATATGGCAATTGTGACCTAAAAGCCTTTTGGAAACACCTAGAACTGTTGGTGAAAATATAATATACAAATGCATAGCAGAGTTCTCAAGAAAGTAAGAGAAATCACTATGGGTCAGACGTAAGGTAGAAATTAAAAGACAGAGTAGCAAGGACATAGCCAAATCTTTGGTTACTCTCACTAGTATCACTGGTATGAGGTTAGGAGGGAGAAGCCAGGATATTGACAATTTCAGAAAGTGTTTTTGATCCACATGAAAGTTTGAAATGAAGCCTCAGGCCCACATGTCAAATGGAGTCAGAACTGTGATCCAACTCATAAGGCTATAGCATCTGTGACCGACCAAAAAAATCTACCTGTTTGCAAGAAGATAATGAAGAAACATGTCTATGGGGGGAGGGGAAAGCTTCCTAAGACTTTGTAACCACAGAGCTAAAATTCATGTGCATTTTAGTTTCAACTTTTTACCACCTTTGTAGCTTGGGGAACCCTAAGCAAAAAAAGACTCCAAAATTGGTCTCAGGCCAATATTATCAATATTATCCTTAGATGGTCTGAAAAAACCAACACAAAATACTCAATCCAAGTGTGCCAGGGTCTCATGGTTAAAGCTTCACTAAAGATTAGTGCAAAACCCCAAATCCTAAAATCAAAGAGGACACATTTAATTATGAGTGCTGCAAACAGCCAATTAGATAACATAACAATATGACAGAAACTATACAATTAGTAATTTTTAATATTTCATTCAAACGTTTTTTTCAGACTTACAGAAAATTTTCAAAATAGTAAAAAGAATGACCATATAGGCTTCACCTAGATTCTCCCAATGTTAATCATAAGAATTCCATCAACCATATACATGCACACTTTTTTGAACCATTTGAGAGTAACTGACATAATGCCCATTAACTGCTAAATACTTCAGTATATGTATCATAAAATAAGGATATACTTTTATATAACCACAGTATGATAATAATATCAGGAAATAGACATCGATACAATTATATTATCTAATCTACAGACCTTAATTAATTTTTTATCAGTTATCCACTACATTTACTTTACAGTAAGGAAAAAATGTTTTTCTAGCTTAAGATTCAATTTGGGACCCTACATTGCATTTAGTTGTATTTTTTGTCTCCTTTAATCTAGAACCCTTGTTCTGCTTTTCTTTATTTTCTTATCACCTTGATATTTTTGAAGAGTAGAGTCGAATTATTTTGTACACTATCTCTTGATTTGGTTTTCCCACATTTCCTCATAACTTAGGTTATAGTTAGTATTTGGGCAGGAGTACCGCAGAAGTAACATTGTGCCCGTCTCAAAGAGTGGCACCCTATCAGAAGGCCAATTTTATCTATTTGCTCTGTTACTGAGGAGGTCAACTGAGAGCCCTTGGGAAGTATGTGTTCTGGGCTTCTTGAGTATTACTCTCTCTCCTTGGCAGTAACGAATTTCATGGGGGCGGATACTTGGAGGCGACGTAAGTATTTTATCACTTATCAGACTTGTACCCACTAGTTAGGAGATTCATACTTTTGTTTATCAGTTCAGCATAATAATTCAGAGCATAAACTTGGGGTCAGAGGCCTGGGTTCAAGTCCAGCTCTGCCATTTATAAGCTATATGAACTTGGCAATTTATTTAATTTTCTGAGCCTCCGTGTCTTTATCTGTTAAATGGAGGGTAATGATAGTGCTTGCCTCATAGGATGGTCATAGGCTCTTCAGTTTCCATTATTATTCTTTATTCCTAAAGCGTTCTTTTTCAAGTAATCATTATCCTTTTCTTAAAGTGTCCTGTCATTTCACTTAAAAAAAAATCCCTATTTTCTTGCTTTATCTCTTTAACTACTTCAAGTATTTTTGTTTTATAGGATCTTTTGGGTAGTTCTACCTTCTCTGGTTTTAGGGGAACAAATTCTCCTTTTTTTGTTGTTGTTGTTGTTGAGTTGGAGTCTCACTCTGTCGCCCAGACTGGAGTGCAGTGGCCACTCCCGGCCACTGCGCCTCTACCTGCTGGGCTCCGGTGATCCTTCCACCTCAGCCTTCCAAGTAGCTGGAACTACAGGCACACGCTACCATGCCCGGCTGATTTTTTGATTTATTGTAGAGATGAAGTCTCACTGCCCAGGTGGGTCTCAAATCCGCGGGCTCAGGCAATTCACTCACCTCAGCCTCCCAAAGCACAGGATTACAGGCTGAGCCACCGAGCCTGGCTAAATTCTCCTTTTTGTTGTGCTACTTCTCTACCTTATGATAGACTGTTTCTTTGTGTGGTTTACATTTTTTCATGAGTAGATGTTAGGTCCTCTCTCTAGGTGCTGTGTCCTCCTAGCCCATGGTTTCATGATCTTACATGACTAATATTATGGCGATTGTTCACACAATTCTAGCACATGTATATTCACTTTCTTGTTTGCTTACTGTGAATTCAGGTTATTTTATCCAATGTGTCTATGAGTCTTTGTTGTCAAATCTGTAGGAATTCATTTCCGTCAGTAAAATTTTAAACATGGCTATCAAAACTGGGAAAAATTTTAAAGTTAGCGTATAGCCTCCCAGTATCATCAGATAATATGTAAGCACTGACTGTTTCCAGAAAAGGGAAGGTCTATTCTTTGATTCCCAGACGTGCTAAATCATCAGCCTCCTTCTCCTGAATCCAAAGTATACACATCACCCTATCAGTTAAGCAATGTATTCTCATTGGAATATGTGAGCTGCAGGGGATGAGATGGAAGGGTCTGGGGTAGTTTGGGGAGGGTGGGAGATAAAATACAGAGCATGAGCTGACTATCCTAACAGTCTGAGTTCTGAGCAAATCAATAACTGCAGTTACAATGTGCCTCTGAGCTTTAACACCTGGGATTTTTCCCCAGACTCTTCCCCAGTGGGTAATCCTTAATGAGCTGCTAAGAGACATGATCAAAACTATTAGACTCACCTTGTGACAATGTGCAACTTTACAAGATGTTCTCACATTGGAAAGTTATAATAGTGTAAAAACTATTATAATATGTATTAAAGACCAAGGACAAGGCTTTCTGTAATGTAAAAGTCACAAGATTAAAATATAAAGGAATATAATCCACATGTACTAGAGAGCTGTAACATTACAATAAAGTTGCTAAAAAATCTTAAACCACGAATCTAAAAATTGTAGTGCAATCCAAACAAACATTCGGACTCACTCTGAGTCCGGACTATTTCCCAACGGTGTGTCTTATGCTTCAGTTTGCAAACACACTTCAAAATATCATCAGAGCATGCATGTTTTGGGTTAGGAGGCTTTATCTGACACATGGAAATCACACTGAAGACCTTAGACAATGAATCCCAGACATCCCAGAAATACTTTCTCCTAAGCAACGTCAATGTTACATGTGATTACACGAAATCTGATTTACTTTCCAGAAAGATTGGGAAATGACCTGGCTTGGTGGACAACTTGGCTGTTATCAGGCACACCACACTTGGTTTTATTCCCCTATAGGGCCTTAGGGAAGGTCAAATAGTAACAGAATATCTTTTTTACCACTGTGCTAAAAGATAATTTTCTCCCCTCTTGGTCTGCCAAGATTCAAACCCCAACTAACAATGAAACATTAACCACGCCTCCACGACTCTTTCCTCCTCTTAAACAGTGAAGATTAGGCATGTGCTAACTGTGAGGATTACCTGAGCTAAATCATAGTTGGCATTATTATTCTACTATACTACTATCACTTTTATCATCTTAGGCTCTCCTGGAAAAAAAGTTAAAGTGACAGTGAAAAGTTACTTTAAGGGAGACTTTCTACAAGACACATATATTGAGTACTGATATTGTGCCAGGCAATTAATATTCGTTATATCTTGCTTTTCTAACAACACCCCAGAGTAAGCATTTTTATTCTCACTTTACAGATGATGAAAATGTGGTTCGGAGAAGTTCACTCCGCGCGAGCTCACAGCGCCAGCAGCTTGATGTGAGAAGGCGCAGGCGCCCTCCTTCATTCCCACGGTGCTAGCACAGTCCGACTGGACCGGAGCGCGATCCCCGGCCACTCTGTTTCTTTGACTGAAAAGCGAGTCCGTTGTTATGGAGTGGGCACACACCCGTGGGAAAGTCTCAGGGCATCCGCGGACGGCCACCGACTGAGCGGGTCCTCTCACCTCCCCAGCCCTCGTCTGCCACGCGGGTGGAAAGGGGATCCCGGCCCGGACCGTGCACCCATCCGTCTGTCTTCTCTGAGTCTCCGTTTGCTGATCTGCGAAACAGAAATGTAAGTTTGACTGCCAGGAGAAGTTATGGGGATAATAGTGATTTTTTTAATTTAATTTTTTTTGATTTTAAAAATGTGAGGTTCAGTTCAGGATTAGGTCTGCAAGGGGTCACCGTCCAGGTAAAGTTTGGGCCTCCCTCTGGTCCCCACTTTGCTTGGTTTGAGATCAGGTGCCCTCGTGGATGTTGTGTCCTCCCGCCTTCCCTGGCAATATCTTGCTACTGCCAATCCCTTGCTTACAGGATTATGGTAAATGTTCAGCCACTTAAGAGGGAGAATAAACTAAGGTTTTTTTAAAAAGTTATTTTATTTTAAAGATGTGGGGTACAATTCAGAGTTAGGTCTACAAGCAGTCATCATCCAGGTAAAGTTTGGGCTTCCCTTTGGTCTCCACTTTTCTGGTTTGAGATCAGGTACCCTCGCGGATATTATGTGCCCCCCTTTTTTAAACGTGTCCTAGTCATCTGTTGCTGTGTGACAGCCCACCAAAAACAATGGCTTAAAACAATAACAATTATTTGTTTTTAAATGAATCTGGATTTTGGTAAGGCCCAGCCAGGCGGGTTTTGTTCAGGGCCTCTCCCGGAGTTTAAGTTGGACAGTGGCCAGGGGTAGGGTCACCCCTGAAGCGTCCTTACTAAACTGTCTGGTGGCCGAGCTGAGAAGGCTCAGGCATCCAGGGACAGGAGGAGCTGGGGCTACTCCTTTTTCCACATATCATCCCTCCCTGTAGGCTTTCCACAGGCAGCCTTGGGATAGACAGATGGCACCCATGGTGGCTTAACCACCCACGGTTACATTTCATTCTGGGGACACACAACAGAAGACGTGTGGCCTTCCCTAACGGAACCTCAGAAGCCACACAGCATCCTTTCCGCTTCACTGTATTCACCAAGAAGTCACCAAGTTGTTCTTGGGTTGAACGACTGGGGGCATAGACTCTACCTGTACACAGGAGGAGTATCCAAGAATCGCACGCATCCTTTATAAACACCCTCAGACAGATTGCTGTAAAGTGTAGGTGCTGTTATCATTAATTTTATCCAGCTGCAGATCATTCTTTCTGGGAATTATCAACAGCAAATAGAAAACATTTCATTCCAAGTCAATTCTAAGGACTGCATTCTCCAATTATGAAATTGTTGTGTTCTCAGATCCACCAACTCTTGTATTCGCCTAAGTAAAACATAACCTGGAAATAAATTTCTTATAAAAATTTCATTAAACATGATGCTATCTCAAGCATCCCAAGCACATTTTCAAAGCTCATCTGCTTTAAAAGATTGTTGGGATTTTTTCCCTGTTAACATGGATAAGCAAAAAGTGACTGTAATAAGTTTACTGGGGCATTGGCCACTTTTTAAAATGTAACTGGTACTTTGCACCATGCTATGTGATCTGGGCCTGTCATCCATGAGGTATGCAGCCAGGTGGGCAAGAAAGGGGAGATGTGTAGCATCCCAGGTGGGCTACCAGGGCCCTAGAGGTGCAGACGTCCATAGTAAACTAAAGGTCAAGTTCTGCTGAGAAAGCCTCAGTGGCCAGCTTGGGGATATTCAGGGAGTCTTCTGTTTAGCCTGGAATCCAGGCTTGCTGACTCTTACTTCAGTGCTCATTTGATCATCGTACAACTTCTCAAGAAGTTGCAGGCATGATTTCCTCCCTGGGAATAAGATACATTGAGAAGTTCAATGTCTCTGGATAGCCATTACATAAGAAACTCCATGTTGATTAAGCCCACACCTATCGAATTGTCAGTGGTACCAAAGTCTTCTTTTCAATTATGGAAAGTTCTTTTTTCTCAGAAGCTCACAAATCAGTAAATATCCCCAATGTCCTTTACTCCCTGGTACAAACACACAATCCACAATTTATCTAGATCCTCCTTGAATCTATTTCTTTTCTTAAACTTGTATACCTTCTGGGGACAATCACTGGTTTCAGAACTATCGTCTTTGGAACTACTTTAGAACTCTTTAGAACTACATGCGTACCCATGAAGTTTTCATTTTTATTTTTATAGAGACAGGGTCTCCCCCTGTCGCCTCGGCTGAAGAAATAGACAGTGACACTGTCATAGCTCATTGCAGCCTTCAACTCCTGAGCTCAAGCAGTTCTTCCACCTCAGCCTCCCAAGTAGCTAGGACAACAGGTTTGCACCACCACATCTGACTACTTTTCTAAAGATTATTTTGCAGAGATAGGGTCTTGCTATGTTGCACATGCTGGTCTTGAACTCTTGGCCTCAAGCAATCATCCCATCCCAAAGTCCTGGGATTATAAGCAGGAGCCACTGCACCCATCCCCCAAGATGTTAGTGGCTAATTAGCTCACTCAGCTTTTGTCTCTCGAGAAGGAAAAGGTGTGAGGTTTTAAATTAAAGATTCTGTATTCTCCTGGAACATTCTAGTTGCTATTTTATCAATCTGTTTCAGCATCAGGTTTGTTTTTTTTTTTCACATAGTCCATTATGAACAGAAAATTACATTTTGTGTTCTAGTTTGTACACTTCATGATGCATATAGGGCCAGCTATTACGTTTCAGGCACCACTTCTGTTTCTTGCTGTTCCCCGCCATGTAGCAGCATTGTCCTGGAATTTTTCTCAACCCCATGCCCTAGGTATCCACTGGTAGCTGCCTAGAATAGGCCTACAGCACAGAGCCCACTTGAGGCTTTGGAGCAGTAGAGTGACCGCATGTTAATATCCTCACTCTCGGAGGCTCCATTAAAATGACAGTGAAACATTTTTTAAAAACGTAACAGTATAGTCCTACAAGGACAGAGGAACAGGGGAAACAGTCATTATCCGCTGACAGATGTCAGTGAAATTTTGTAAAGCGGTAAACAGAGAAGTGGTACCTGACAAAGCAGTTTAGATGAAGCCACAGCCTGGAGTCGCACAGACAGGGATGCAGCCAGAAAGCAAGTCTGTGTTTCCTCCTGAGCTCCGGAGAGACCTGGGACTTGGGACTAAAGGCAAAGGTGCAGATTTAAATGACGAGAGTGGTGTCTTCGATCTCCTCTATTTCCATGGCGCAAAATGTCCAGGAGCTGGGAATGTCTCTTCCCACTCCACCGCCCCAAGAGGGCTGAGGTTGGGGAGATCCTGTCGATGAAGCTGGACTGCTCCCGTGCAGAACTCTTTGCTTCCTGATGCTGGGAAAGCCCTCATGCAGCAGGCAGGGCTTTGACCCACCACTGTGAAACAAAAGTTAAAAGCTCTGTTCTTGAATCTAGAGCTTTCTATTGCCTCATTCTCAAATACAGATCTTTTGATCAAGACTCCCCAGACATTTAGAAAATTTTACAACATGAAAGAGAAACTAAGACATGCAGACAGAAAAACAATGATACTCAAGACAACTGATATTGAAGGAACAGAAACTTAATTTTTAAAATTACACCTAATTCTAGTAAGCATCTTCAGAATGGTTTATAAAGACATATTTTCTAAACAAAGATGGGATATTATGAAAGGAACTAAGAAATAGAAAGAGCTCTTGAAAAAATATTAAAATATAAGTCTGCCAAAAAATTCAAAGGAATATAATGTTGAGAATTTTTTTTAAAGAACAAAAAAGAAAAAGAGAAAAATCAAGAACTATGTGCAACAATCCATGAGGCCCAACTTCTAATTATTAGGCGTCATAGGAATAAAGAAAAGAGAATACTCAAAGAAAGAAATACTCAAAACACTTATAAGATATACCAGCATGAAAGGCAAGCAGTTTTCCATTCAAAAGTCTTATTTACTGTACAGGATAATACTTTTTTTTTTTAGTTGGGAGTCTCACTCTGTCACCCAGGCTGAAGTGCAGTGGCACACTCACAGCCACCCCAGCGTCAACCTTCTGGGCTCCAGCGATCCTTCCACCTGAGTTTTCCAAGTAGAAGTCTGAGTTGAACTATAGGCGTGTGCTATCACATCCAGCTAATTTTTGATTTATTGTAGAGATGAGGTCTTGCCAAGTTGCCCAAGCTGGTTTCAAACCCGTGGGCTCAGGCAATCCACTTACCTCAGCCTCCCAAAGTGCTGGGATTACAGGCTGAGCCACCAAGCCCGGCTAATATACCTTTTTTAAAGACACTTAATATTTGTGAAATTTCAGAATACTAATGATAAATAAAAGACCCTGAAAACTTCCAGAGAGAAACAAAAGAAAACTACAAAGGAGATGGGAAGAGACTGGCATCAGAATTCCTATGGGCAACACCAGATACCACAAGATATTGGGCAATGCTTTTAGAAAACATCTGGATAACACAGATCCAAAGAACCAACATGAAGAGGCCACAAAAAAGCAGAAGAAAAATTCCTTCCAGCCTAGAATTCTTTACCCAATTGAATTATATAAAGGTTGGACTAGAATAAACACCAGGAGTTGAAGTCTCAAAACACTGAATTCTCACATTCCTTATCCTGAAAAGAAGACTCTATGAACATGCTCCAGCAAACAGAGCGAGAAAGGGGAAGACAAAAACCAAAGAGTGGGTGGTTCTCACCCAAGAGAGAAGCGAAGGGAACTCCCAGAAAGCAGCGCTGGAGCGAAGTAAGCCCGAAGGTACTAAAACCAGGTCAGAAAGAGTGGATGGAACTTCAGAAGGGACGTGTGTGGATAAAATCAGACTTGAAAGACTGGTTATTTCATTTTGGGGAATTCTGAATGATGAAGGCTATATGCAGACGAGGCATAGAAAAATGGAAGGCAACCAAGTATACAAAGCATCTGAATTACAGCTCCTCGGCAAAAATTGCTTGAGAATTAAATTTAGCTAACCAAGAAATAAATAGCTCAGGGAATACTGAGATAAAATATCTAGTGAGGAGCAAAGAACCCACTTATATATAGAACAAACAGCTCACAACTGAAGCGGAAACTAAGTTAACTGAATTTACATTACAAACATTGACGGCATACAAATAACAATAAAATAGCTAAGAAAAATTGAGAGATGAGGAAGCGGGTGGTGAGAAGAAATGTAAGAGTGGTGTAGGAG